TTCTCTGGTAGCCCAGTTTCTCCCTCCCTGTGTGCCCATTCAGTGGGCTATTGGGTAGAGCAAATAGGGGACCCTGTTCAGTTCCCTTCAACTATCTGTGAGGGCGAGGGGGCATTAAAGTGGACTCCGTTAACCACAGACAAAGCAATAGGACTTAGAGCTCAGCTCAAAGCAGACACTTAAAATTTGGTTGACCAAATTTATCTAGACCCTTGTAAATTAGGGTCATAAAATACTCAACAAAACATGGCCCAGAGTAGCATGGGGACTTCACTGCCAAAAACACTTCTACAACCAATTATTGGCAACATCTAAGAACCCATTTGATGCAACTTCATGAGCAGAATATTCACAACTGCTGAGAGAGAGAGTGGGAAGACATTATTGTTCTTTATCTTTGAAGAGGAACTCAAATTCTTAACAGGGGAATGATAGTCCATCTTTGTACTAACATGATTTTTTAAAAGTACTGTACAGAGGGGCATGGTGGTTCACTCCTGTAATCCACACTGGGGAGGCTGAAGCAGGAGGATTGCTGTGAGTTTGAGGTCAGCCTAGGCTAAATAGTGAGTTCAAGGCCAGCCTGAACTGTATAGTGAGATTCTGACCCTGCCTAAAAAAAAGTACTCTACAGATTGTGCATCTCACTTTCAATTCCTGAATGTCCTTTGTCTGTTTACCTCTCCTCAAACTCACTGAATTGCATATCTGCAGATACCATGATTAGGACTCCTGAATGTCAGTGGTTCTCAGACTTGCATGTGTATAGAGCTATTTTGGAGACTTGTTAAAAATAGAGATGCCTGAATTCTATCTGTGTAAATTCTGTAGGCTTAGACTCCTCTACTCCTCAACACTTCTTTCCAGTAAGTTCAGGAACTTGCAAATATTATTTGGTTACCAAACAGAAGGTCCCTTTGATGAGCACAGCAAATGATAGAGGCAAGTAAACAGATTTTCTTTTTTCATTAAAAATCAAGAGACTTCTTTAACAAGATCTCATTTTAGCAAGGTCCACAGGTGGCCTGATGTGTCTTAGAGTTTTAGAATCACTATCTAAAATATGAGAAAAAAGGAAGAAGAACTAGAAGTTTTTCCAGGTTCCAGGACAGTTCAAAGACAGAGAAATCAGTGTATTAACCATGGCATTTGTTAAAATAGAAACTGATTCAGTGGCTTTGGGGTAGGATCTGAGATGCTTCCTTTCTAACATTCCCAGTGGTGCTGATGCTCCCAGTCCCTGGAAAACACTGAGTAGCAAAGGGTAAGATGATAGGTTAGGGAGTTCCACAAACCTGTGTCAAATCCTAGCTTCACTACTTTTATCAGATGTGTGATGTTAAGCTAATTACTTAGCTTCTCTGGCCCATTTTTTGTGCAATGGGATGGATAGGTAGGAGGGAAGAAGGGAAATATTCCCAGAGTTCTGTTGTGAGAAATTAAATGTTCTAGTGCATAAGCACTTGCAAGTTATGCACTATCACAGTACCAAACACATAATAAAGGTCTAAGAGTAATTCCTACCAGTAAGAATATGCGACTTCTTGTTTCAGGAGTTAGGCATCTAGTCACATGCAAAACTATCTGAATGATTATTTCTGGCCTAGTGACTGTGTGACTTTACTTGCTGCATTATGTCACCAAATTATAGCTTAGTCTCAACTATGTTTTCTCTAAATGGGCTTGAGCTGAGCATGATAAGGCATGAGGATTGAGCACTCCTTATTCAGACTGTGGGTGCTCACTGGGCTGTTCCCTGCATACTGGGTCTGGAAATGCAAGGGTCAGAATGAACTCTAGCCATTTCTTCTCCATGGTGGTTGCTATTTCCAGTTTATGTTTATGAAGTACATATAATTTTAAGGCATTACCAAGAGAGGGCCTTCCTTCTGTGGTTGATTTACAGAGTCATATTTATACTCTTATTACAAGTCAGCATTTTGGGCTCTGACTCCCCTGGGCTCCTTCTGGCCTGCTTCTGGGTCAGTCAGGTTATAACACTGGTCAAAACTGCTGACTGTGTCATTCCAGGCTAGTAGATGTGGCTTCCTTGACCTTCATGCCAAGGGTTTGATTGGATTTGGGGGTGGTTGGAGCAGAATCCTGCTTCTCTGAAAGAAAAAGCTTACCACTATGGGTTGCCTGTATTAAAGGTTTTGAGTGTTTGCAACAATGTGCTAGGATAGCCACAGTTTGAGAATGGATTCTGTGACCAGGACAGCCAGCATTCTCCAGAGGTCAAGGGGATGACTGTGCTAAGACATATATCCTGGAATTAGAGAGCAACATAGTGCAGGGCCCAAACAACATAAAGATGTTCAAATAATTAACTTTTGTCATCAGCAAGGAACCACCTCGTAAGCACCTCATTCTACTTTCTCTGCCTTCTTTTTCCTCTTTGAATATTGTATATATCCTAGCCTTTCATCTGGTGCCCAGATGGTCTTTGTGATTAGACCTCTCTGCCAACCAGAGGTGATTCTCAAGGGCATGAATATTCTTTCATTAAAGAGTCACTCTTACCATTCTGTTTAAACTATCACAGCTAAGAAGATTTTTCTTTTATTTTAAGTTACTTTCTAATTAGCTGCTTTCATAAATATAAGTAAAGTCCAAATTGTTGGTTCTCTCTTTTCTCGTTTTTCTCCCCTCCTTTATTTGGCACTACGGAGTTTTCACATAAGGCACGAGGACCTATCAAAAATTCTGCTGATACAAGAAAATAATGGGGGCCAGAAAAGAGATTCTCTGTCTTCTCTTCTTAGGCCTAATCCCTACGAAAAGGAAGTAGGTAGATACCTTTTTATCTATCAGAATAGGAATCCTGTGTGTTTGCGTCCCCAAGGAAGCAATAGGAACCCTCTTGGATTTCCTGGTGAATGGCAAGGAGTTTGCTCATGCTGGGCTCAGTCCTGCTGTGCATGGGAGCCCCAGCTTCTCTGTCTGGGGCCGTTGTCCAAGTGGCTGCTGAGAGAAGAACCACCGGCCTAGGCTTGGGAGTAGCTTTGGAGGGAAAGCTGTTTTTGCTGGGCTTGTTTGCTGAACAGAGGTAATAGGCTTGAAAGAAGAGAGTTGTACAGATGGAGATGAAGAAAGGTACTTTCTTCATTTTAGGAAAATGTAAGCCCCTATGTATAATGGAGATACTTAAACTGATAAGAGCTATATCATACTATAAGAAGCAGACCTGCTATAGAATCAAGTCCCGAGCCTAGTCATGAAGTAAAGAACAGGGCCACAAACAAAATGGGTGCTCTACTGGCAAGGTTCGATCCCCTAGGGAGGGGAACAGCATTTCTTTAGAGCATGTGAAAAATATATGGCAGATGGGCCCTTCAAGCTAAATTTTGGTTAAACAGAAAGAGATTAAAAAATAGAGAAAATGCTGCTGTTTTTCATATGAGCCATAGTTATTTAATTAACATACCTGCACTGAATATTAAGCTGAAGGATTTCATAGCAATTAAAATAATAAAATGCACACTGAAGAGCAGGATTCCAAGGTCTTTTTCCTTCACTCAATGATTATTATTTTTTTAGAGATAACCTACTGTGGAAGCCCATAGCTTTGCCAGCAAAAACAACATCCTGCCATCCTTAAAAGTATGCTACAATTTGTGGCTGTGTACCCAGGATTTGACATGGAGTGGTGTTCTATTTCAACCCAATTTAATTATATGCTCCCTTTATATATCGTAGATGGCTCACACTAGCAGAATTGTTTTGCCTGGTGAAAAACTGGCCATGACTTGTCATAATGGGCTGGTTTATAGAACCACTGAAGTATAGTTACTGCCCATCATTCGGGAATTATGGCACCATAACAACCTTTTATTTACATATACTGCTGAGACTGTAAAAACAGCAAATAGATTTCTTAAATCGAGACGGCAGAAATTTCCCCCCAGGGTACTTGGCCCTCATTGTGGCAGTAACATATGCAAGTCTAAACAACTTTGGTGTTTGTATTTCGGCAGTGCATCATTTCATGGACAGTTTATAACATTCTAATAATAAAATGGACTCTATAAATTTGGAGTTGGGCTTCACGAACATTAGATGGTAATGCACACACCAGAATCTCTAAGTGATTTGTGAGGAAGGTTTAAATTTGCTAATCACACTACTGCTGAGCAACTCTGCAGAAGGGCTGAAGTGAAGTCAGCAGTCTGGCTGTTGGGAGGTGGTGGCAAGCTTTTAACCAGGAGAATGCTTGACCTAGTTTACCTTCAGGCAGACAAGACATCTGGGTAAAGGCAAGAATTCTTATATCTTTACACTCCTAGGTCTTAAATAATCTTAGCTTTTCCCTCCTCGAACAATGAAAATATTTTTCTCTCTCTCTCTCTCTCTGTTTCTCCCTCCTTCACGATGTGCCTTTGGGGACAATTACTGGGGTAAAGCATCACTACTACCCCCTCCTGAGATTTCACAGAAGTTTCCTTCTCATTATTCCTAACTTCTCACTCTTTGTAAAGCTCTCACAAGACTTACTTTTAATACACGTTTCAAAAGCATGCTCCAAATACCACCATCATATTTCTATTCTTGTGGTCTTAGCTTCTAGTAAATTTATGTCTGCACCTGGTGAGCCATTCCAACCAGGGAGAGGGTTCTGCACTGACGTCGTAACGGAGACTGCTACTCAGCATTCTGCAATGACTGGCACGTGGCTCATGAAGGCACAGTTTAAAAAGGGGAGGGTCTTATTAGTCCAGGTCTCCAAAGTCAGGAAGGGTGTGAGGTGGACAAGGAAGGGGAAGACTATATGATCTCCTGCACCATGCCTGTGGCTGCAAATGGGTGGCCAAACGGGGTGCTTCTGCCAAGCGTTGAAATTTCTCTTCAGCTAGGCCGATTAAGAGGCTCTCCTATCCTCTTGGGTGTGTCTGCTCCTCTCCAGGAGAGCCCTTGGGTTGGGTAAGGCTGTGAGGGCGAAGCCTTCTCCAGGTGCCCGCCCCTCAGGGTGCCCAGGGTGCCCAGGGCGCAGGCGCACTCACCCCCTGAAGGTAGGCCTGAGCAGCTACCTCCGTGCTTACAGGGACTATGCTCACACACGTCGGGGTAGAGCACGCAGCCCAGCTTCAGCTCCGTCAGCCCCACGACCTCGGCAAAACTGCTGCGTTTGTTCTGCAGTGGCAGCTCGTTGTTATTCAGCACCACGGAGTCCAGGCAGCCCTGGAAGCCACTGAGCACCTGCGTGACGCGCGTGTCGGTCAGGCTGCGGATGTTATCTGCCTGCACCAGGGCGCCAAAGTAGATGGAACTCTCAGTGCTCAGCATCTGGAAGTAGAGGGGCGCCCTGCGCCGCTCTACGTAGCTATCGTCGAGGGACAGGCTAGTGAAATTGCGATTGAGCTCGAGGAAGACCGAATGCCAGCTCCCGTCGTTGACCATACGGCCGGAGATGCCCAAGATTCCGGGGCCGCTACCGCAGTCCAGCTGGAACCACAGCTTGCCGTCCACAATCTGTGCGGGAAGGAATACCGGAGCCCTTTTAATTTGCATCTGTCGGGATATGCCCAAACACCGCGATCCTCACCAGCCTAAGAGGCTCACAGAATGCTCCGGGTGGACAGACACTGCTCTTGATTCAGTCTTAAATCAGTTGTGGTTTGATTTTTAACAACCAGCAGCCCCACCCCACCATTACCTGGCAAGAAAATGCAGTCCGATGTTTTACAAATCTTCCTGTAATTAGTGATACAAACACAGCTTTAGAAACCCACAGTTATATTTAAGAATGTTTCTAGGCTTTAGATCTCCACCCTTTAAAAATGTACAGCAATAACATATTTAGAAGTGTGTTTATTCTCTGCATCTTTCTCAGACATTTTCAGCACAGGAATGATTTCTGTGACCCCATTAATATTTATTGGACATCTACTATGTGGCAAACTGTGTGCCAGGTGCTGTGGAGCAAAAAGAGTTATCTGTCTTCCTGGGGCTTATGTTCTGGTGGAGGAGATGACTATATATATATATAAACAAGTTTACATGAATGTACTGTAGGGGAGAGAAAGAGGCCAGGTAGAAATATAGATTCTCTATTTCCCAGCTCTATGTATATTTTGGATTTTAAAAATTCTCTATATTAAATACTAGTGTTATTCTTAAGACTATCTGTTTGTATGCTGCTTATTATCACAAAGTACAAATGGCTTGGCCATTTGCTTAGACTACATGTATATTTAACAACATCTGGCTCTGCAGAAGGATCTTCTGGTTAGCTGCGTATTCCTTGCACCTAGGCCCTGGTCTAGGGTGCTGCACTGAAGACCTGCCTGCTTCTGTGGTTGCATGGTGCAGGGAGGACCTCTAACTACCCACAGGGGACTAATCCCAGGGGACATTACACACAGGAGAGAAAGCATGTGCTAGTTGATAGGCTCCCTGAGTGAGACCTCCACCCAACTGAGAAAGAAAAACCTCAACAGATGTGCATTGCCTGCAAGAACAGCGTTGACAGGAAGCCAGCTACTGCCTTGCTCATTCATACCTGCAGGGAGACCGATTCTCAAAAAAAACCCACAAGGCACCTGCTGTACCTTGCTATACCTGCCATCATCCTGCTACCCTCACTCATTCCTGTTCACCAGCCTCAGGCCCATCACCCAAGAAACCCCCAAATTTTCCACCCTTTGAGCTAACACCCCCCGCCACCTAAACTCCCCTGTATAAACTGGGTGTGCCATTCTTCCTATGCCAACAGTCTTGTCACCCTTGGCTGACTTGCACCCAGGTCACAAACTCCTTGCTTCATTGCTTCTACTTTCCCTGCCTTGGTGGTCTTACTCGAGCTTGGGTCAAACCTTACACTAGTGAAGGATGTTGGCTGGCAGAGAGCTGCTGGATAGGGATTAATCCTCCATAGAGACCCAGGTTCAACTATAGCCGAAGAGTGGGGCTGGCCTTTGGCTCCTCCGTGGTTAACCATGTCTACATGTCTCAGAAATGATAAGTGGCTTTAGGATCATGGATTGAGGGCTGGCCCCTGTCTAGCCAAGTTTATATTTGGCATGAAGGGACTGACAGCCAGAAGCTGTGAAACAAAAGTTTCCTTTCTGGCCTATGTCTGTGACCTAGCAAAAACCTGTGGAGGCCAATATCAGCATCATGAAAGAAGGGGTGTCCATCTCTCAGGATCTGCCGGTGCAGAGCACAGGCATTTGCAGAGAGAAGAATGGGGGAAAAAAGCAAAAGAATGCACACGAGAGGACAACACAGGCTTTCCAGATCACTAACAACTAAGGAGATATAAATATCTGGCGAAGCCCGACCAACCTCCAATGCTGCTTGACAAAGTTCCAGCTGGGGGAAAAGGAGGGTGGAACACATCGTACCCTCATGTTTTATTTTTTCTTGCCCTAATGTTTACAATTGTTACTCTGGTCACAGGAATCATTGTATTTGTGACTAACAACATATTCTCCATGATGCAAATTGGCAATGTTGTATTGAAATCTGATCTGGCTCAAAAGTCCCAAATTCCTGTTTCTCTTAGTTCTATTGTCACACCCACTTCTAAAGAAACCCCTCCTAAAACTCCCTCTGTTTTCCTGACACTGTAACTCCTTTTCTCTATTAATGACTTTCTTTTTACTAAAGGGGTCTTATAAAGAGATTGAAAGGACAGATTTTAGATGTAAGACACAGTAGAAAATGGGAAATAGAAAGAAAGTTAAGACAGATAAATACACTAAGGAGGCAAGTTACTCAGCTTTTCTCGAAGTACTGTAAACATTTCCTGCTCATGGACCATGAACCCAAATAACATTTAAGCAAGATGAATAGAGGTATAGAAAAAATAGAGAGCTAATAGCAAACTATATTAACCATTGTGCAGTTTCTCAAGGGCCAGCTGACGACCACAAGTTTGACATTTAATTAACTAAATCTTGCTTGTATCCCCGCTGATATAGAGATTTTGATTAAGTTACTTTCTGTTCTGCTTAGGTGTGGGTAAATAAGGGGACAATTGTAATTTTTAAATGTATTCATGATGTTCAATGAAATGAATCAGCTTAGGAAAAATATACTTTGTTTAGTAAAAAATAACCTTTATTTCTATAGAAATTGCTAAGGCAACCTAAAATGTAAACATGTTCTGCCCAATGCCTCCTAGCCATTGCTTAAAGATATAAAAATAAATCAGACCCTGAGACTTCTCAGAGGGAACCTGCACATTGCTTGCGAAGGTTCTTTTCTCACTCGCCGGCCTGAGACCTCTCCCCTTCCTACCCTGCATCGACTGCAGCTGGTCTGCGGCAAATATCAACTGAATTCAGAGAAACAGGCTGTGTTTTACTCATGATAGATTTAGCAATTATCACAGCCTTACTCATTCTCATAAATAGAATGTTTCTCTGTCATCTATGTTTCAGCATGTTCCAGAGACAACCAATTCATAGGAACTTTCATTTCTGCCTTCAAGTTTCCATGGATCTTCTCATCCTGGCACCTTCTAATTTGCATATAAAATTATTAGGGTCATACCACATAAAAATATGAATATAAAAAGGCTAAGGGCTTTGAGAACCAGAAAGCTCCTGGGAATTTAGTAATGCTGAATCTAATTCAGGCTCTGTCAGATACCACTCAGATCACTAGTGAGAATGGCTCCTGGGTTTGGGTTTGGAGAGCAGAGAGAAAAAATGTGGCTTATTTTACAAGTATACTGTGCCCACTGTATGAAGGTTGGCCCTGTCATAGATACTTCATATATGCATACTTTGCTCTGTCATATAAATGTTTAGACATAAAAGGACTACAGGACTGGAGACATACTTATTTTTCTTTCCAGAGAACTTTCACATGTAATCTTATGGAACTGTCTTTGCCTTTTTAATTTTTGTTTTAACAAAATGGACTGAATGGATATTATAAATCATATGAGAGTACTTGCTCAATGACAATTCCTGGATAATATCCATATTTGTATTTCAGTGTAAGTAATAAAATAATCAAGTGTGACTTTGGAGAATACCTTTTTCTGCCACAGCCCATCTGCTATTTTGCCCTGTGGCTACAAAATGCTGTCCCCAGTCTATCAAGCAAAATATGGTGGTATGGATGCATTCATCTACATTTTTGTAAAAGGATGTTCACTTAATATTACTTGATTCATTCCTTCTCCTCATATCAATCCCTTCCACTTTGAATAATTCCAAGTTACAAATTCACCCAGAAGGACTGGCATGACTAGTGTACTCACATAAGTTTTGTAATTAAGGGACATAAAAATCCCAAGTGAACTGAACACTCTTAAGATTCACTTTTTCTCTGTTGAAAAAATAGCAGCAACATTGCTAAATGAAAGAAGCTAGATGCCTACACAATCCTTACTATTTTACAAAAACCATTTTTATCCTCACAATTTTAGGACTTTGGAATTATCAGCCTTGTTCATATGATAAATCACAATGTTTACACCAAAAGTTACCTTGTGAAAAGTTAACACTTTTTGCTATTTCACAGGTATATTATGTGAGAGAGAGATAAGAGAACACTTTTTTTTCATATCCAGGTTTTCTAAAATTGGAAATATATACTCTTGTCATATTTAGCTTTCCTCTGTGTTTAGAATAGGGTCTACCTAGTTTTACATGATGTTTCTTCTCCAAGTATAAAGCGTTCTCAAATCAGGATGACCTGTTTTAATAGAAAGTGAGATGTGCATGAAGCTGTGAGAAAAGTCTTTGATACTGAAATAATGTGCTGGGTAGGGGACTGCTTGGTAATCTCTTCAATGACATGCATAATTCAATGAGTGTTGCCCTAATGTTATAAAATATTTAGATCCTTGGAGTGGTTGGAAATCAGTGATGTGCTTTAACCCAGATGTTCATTGGCTTGGGGCTTGGGATATAAGAAATCAGAGCTATGGAAAGTCAGCTTTGTAGGAAAGTAGGATTTTGAGTAAAAAGTGTTATTTATGGCACAGAGTCTTACTGCTTCAAATCCTTAGTGTGTGTCTTTAGCAAATGTAGCATAATTATACATCTTGTAGGAAGATTATTAAATATTCTTTGAAAAGGAGACATTTAAAAACCTATATTCCAAGGCTGCTAATAGTTGCTGACACATGCTCAAAAATATGTCTTGAAGAAATAAGCAACAGGATAAATGATTACCCCAGCTCTCAGAACCTCTTCCTTTGATAAACCCCTGCAGTCCTTCTAACCTGTTTGGCTCGCCACATGCTCAGACCCTCTGTTAAATAGATATCACTTTGAGAAAGCCACTAAATTGCTGAGCTTCAGTCTCTTCACAAGCAAATGAGAACACTCTTATCTCCAAGGAGGGGAGTAAGAGTAAAAAAAAAAAATGTATATATTAAAGTACTTTGTAAATTGTGGGTGTCCTATTATTATTTCAGACAAGATTGGGTGCGTTCAGGGTGGTATGGCCGTAGACTCTTTTTTTTAGTTTTTAATTTTTAAAAATTAATTTTATTGGCACATTTTAGGTATGCAGTATAATGACATTCATAGACTCTTAACAATATTTCAAAATGTAATTATTGTCAGTTAACACATTGTTCAGTGACACTCTTACATAGATCTTTGAAACTTAAATTTTGTAGGGAGTCCCTGTGATATTCTTTTAGATTATCATGGAATGATATGGCTATACAAAGTGAGCTGTTTTACAGACCAAATGAACTTTCCTTAACTTTCTTTTAGACTTGGGGTATCAAGCTAGCCATGTCCAAGAAACATCAGGATGAGGCAATTCTTCATATGTAACCTCCTAAAAGATAAAAGGCCTGATATTTCTAGATTAACAACCAAGGTATCCTTATTCCTTTGCCATACTGGAGCCAAAAGACTGACATATAGAAAAAGCCTATTCTCTTGATAATTTTCCTTTACATCTCATCTAATTATCTGATATGTTTCTTTCATAGGTGTGAGGAGTCACTGAATCTATTCTACTATTGCCTTGGCTGCTTGGAAACGTGGTGTTATGATTTGCATTCAATTGAAATCATTCCTCATGACCTAATTTTCAAAAAATAATGGTGTTCTTCTTTACTTCATTGGTCAGCTTTTAATCTTTTATTTTCATCTTAATGGTGCTTTGAGTTTATTGCATTTGGGTGTTTATGGTAAGCCTCAAATCTCTTTTGGAAGGTAGGGTATTAATGGCACATATAAGAATGAATGCTTTTTACTGCTGCTGGGAGACAGTAGTACTTCTGTCCAGGAGCATTTTCATTTCTCAAGGTCTCCATGTAATTCCTTAACTGTCTTCAAGGGGTGCCCTTTACCCCATGGATTATGACTTTGTTTTACAGAATATGGTCTGACTGGGAAAAAACCAAGAGGTGCAATTTAAACAAGGCATTTCAGCTTAGTCACTGAACCAAAGTACAAGCTACATACTATACCTAAACCCAATGAAATTAAATTTTGCATGAGGCTGCAAATGTTAAGTAAACAGATTCATATCCCCTAAGTGGATATTCCTGGCGACTGTAGGAGAATATCTGCAATAGTTCATTACATCTGTGTCCTTCTTTGGGATAACCCAGCATATGAAAAGCAAACTTATAGAACATACAGGGTAATGATTCACATTGCAAAGGGATCAATGAGAGGGTTCTCTTCAAAATTAATTAGTTTATGAATTCTGTGTACAGAGATCGAGTTTACACAACTTTCAGAAATATGCTTGCTTCATGAAATACAATGTACCTCAGGATCTAGAGCTCCCTAGAATACTTAATTATTCTTGCCCATCCCAAGGGATATGCATATTTTAGACATTTGCCAGTGAAGTGTCAAATGACAAGCTTCATTTTAGGATCAAGCCATTCAGGAGCAATATTTTTGTCTTCTCTCAAATTTAACACTCTACAGAGATTTGCTAATAGAAAGTATTTGCCTCTTAAGAATGTTGTCAACCAGCAGCCTTGTTTCAGCTTAAAGGAGGAGAGGGAACTATCAGTGAGACCTAAGGAAAGCCGCGAGGAGAAGAAACTCTGAATGGGGAAGTATTTTCCCAGCAATCATACAATCTCTGCCTCCCAGGGCTATTTCGAAAAATGATCTCCTGGCCCAAGGCATACTGCTTCAGGGACCAGGAGGGAATAAAAACAAAATTTATGGGTTTGAATTTTTCTTGTACCATGGATATCTGATTTGAATATGTCTTCTTTAAACCTGTGCATCAACAGTATTTTTTTTTTAAAACATTGTTTTCTATTCCAAAGCTAAAACTGTTCTGAATGAGTAAAGATAATACGAAATTCTCCTCAAATGTACTGATTGTTAAACTCCAGCATCTTGCTGACTTACTCTGGCCAACAAGTAATAATAGTTGGCAATATCAGAAATGGGCAAGTGAAAGTCTATCTAACAGTTAAGAGAAACCACTGGCATTTAATATTCTCTGTATTTTTCTTCTTCCTCATCTGCCTTTAGCATTAGAGCCTGGACCACCTAGTGAACTTGAATATGAATATCAACAATCAAAGGACAGGCTACAAAAGCCTACCATGGTCCTTAACTGAACTTAGAGGACAATTGATTTCAGCCATCCCACTTAGCTGGGCATTTTCTACTGGACAGGCTTTGCATGTTTCTAAAGAGCACTTACTGTGGGCTGGTATAGCAATCTAGTGAGAATCGCGTTAGATGAAACATGTCTCCCACCCTCTCCTCCCCATCCTAGAAGGCCAAACCTGGTCTACAGTTGCCCAGAATTCAATTTTTGACAAAATTAGTTGTAGCAACAAGATGGAGAACTGATAACAACATGGAGATTATAAGTATGAAATGAGAGATAATAGAGCATGGTCCAGGCCTTGCCACTTATCAGCTGTGCAGTCTTGGGTAAATAACTAACCTCTCTGAAGTGCTATCTCTTCCTGATCAAATGAGCATGCTGATCTATAACAAATATATCATAGTGACTTTAAAATTTAAAAAGTGATGCATGTAAAACTGTCAATATTGTTGTCCTTCCTAAAGGCACTAAAATCCCCGAGCAAATACAAATGCTAGATTTTCTCTAAAGGAAATCTGGCCATCTTAGGAGGGTTTCTGAGACTGGGAAATGAATTAAAAAATTGGACTATTTGAGTCATGAATAGATATGTGGAATCTTCTATTCCTCAGATCTCCAAATTCCTCCTGAGCAAGAAGAGATAAGAGGGGAGAGGCTCGTGTAGTGGGAGAGGGTACAGCCAATCCTTTTAAAGGACCATCTCTGGTGTGGAATTCATTAGAAGAAACATTCCTACAAACTGAATGATTACAGGTCAAAGAAGGCCAGTTCTTGAACCTACTTCATACAGCAAGATGCTCCAGTCTACCACGAGTTAATTTTGAAGCCAAATATGTGATAGAAATGGGACACTGGCATATTTCCTAGTTCTGCTACTGCTCCCCCTTACCCTGAAGTCTGTTCTCCTCTTTTAAACTCAAAAGATAAAACGTCAGCAGTTCTTTATCCAAGAGCCAAAATACTTACCTGAAAACTGCCTGCTGGGAAAGATAGTCCATTGTACATACCTTCAGAATCATGCAGGGATTTGCTCTGGTGTACATTATAATCCCGTTGCTTTGCAGGGTTCTCAGGCGTAGAGCTAGTTTGAAGTCCTCTTCTTTGCTATTTTCAGAAAGACGGTATTTGATATAACTGTTTCCAGCAAAGCTAAGAGAAGTGTGTCCTGAAAAGACCATTACAAGAAGATAATCTTTTAACACTCAGAGATGAGCAAGGACACATGAAATCCCCCAACAACTACCAAGCAAGTTGACTAAAGATAGGGATAAGTTAATGAAGGCATTAAGGAGAAACTTGTTTCCATTAAACACTTGTTCTTCACTTCATGTCACACTTCTAACTTGAAAAAAAAAAAATTATCTCATGCCAGGAGCAACTTCGTAAATTCTGTAACCTGAACGTTTTTAGTATCACTAGATCCTCAAATCTCACTTTCTAAAATTAATATTATTTTAAAAACTCCCTTAATCTGCTCCCCTACCTGCCCTGCAAATCCCTTTTACTTATAAGGCTATTAAGAACTTGGCATTCTATAAACAAAAGGGAAGACATAAAACTACTTTTAAGTAGTATCCCTAATTCTCAAGTAATCTAAAGCCAAACAGCCAACTTATGTCATTTACACTAAAGGTAACTGAAAAAAAGGTAACCGATGTAAAGGAAATCTGTGTACAGTCACAATTCCATTTCCTGGTTGTTAATTTCAAGGTTCTCCTTCCCAAAATCATTAGTCTAACCTATCATTGCCCAATTCTGAGTTCATCATTTCTATTACCTCCAACTTTATGTTTTAACAAGCAAAATAATTGTTGAAAAGCTGCCTTGCTGGGGTGGAAAGGTGGAAAGTGTAGAAATATACTAAATGGATAATTACCATGGAAATTCAAAAGTTTTCTGTATAAAAAACACATAGGAAATGAGCATAAAGTGACACCAAAAGGAGTAAGACATGGCTTTATGGTATTTACACATGCACCTGCATGTGCACAGCATGTGTGTTGGGCTTGGGGAAGAATAATTTTCTTTTAAGCCTAAACTTGGGATGGCTTGGGTGAGCTTCCCTTCACATTACGGGGCAGCACTATCCTTGACATTAACTCTGAAGGAGTTTTTGCTTTCATATAGAAAATACTTCTTGCTCCAAGGGGTCAATTTCTAAAACTCAAGGTGTAACAAAGTATCTTGCACATATTAGGCATAATTATTTTTATTCCCCCTACAGTTGATATTATTATCACCACTTAATAAATACTATTTGGAATCTAAAATTGGTATCAATATGTCTGTACTTTTTATTTATTTATTTATTTATTTATAGTACCAGGGATCGAACTCGGAACCTTGTACTTGTGAGGCAGGCAGTGGAACCACTGAGCTAAATTCCCAGCCCCCCTGTCTGTATTTTAAAAACACCCTACAACAGAAACAGGATTCAATTGTTACCAAAAACGAATATGCCTTTTAGAGGAAAGAAGTGGCAGAGAATATATGAATCAAAAGAAGCACTGACATTTTGCAAATATCAGAAATATTCATTTGAATTAAAATAATCTAAATATTATCTTCTCTTACGATGCAGAGGTAAACACCTATTTTTTCTGGAACACGCAGCATTTCCAGTGTAGAGTCAGCTTACTCATTGCTTTGGGTTGGTTAACTATGGAAGGTCAATAGCATTTGCTTTGATTGGCTCTACTTCTGTTGATCTCTGTTTTGTGGCTATGGATTTGCACAGCCCTGTATATATCAAAAATCATGCCACAGATACTCTACCTCCTCTGTTCAACCAAGAATTGTCTATTTTCCACAATTTCACACCTGTAACTGCCATGTAATATGACAGAGAACACATGCGATGTTCTCCCTTGTCTATAAGGAGTCCATATTTTACACATTTCCTTAGTATATCCTGCAGTGTGATAGATTCTAAGTAAACGTGAATGTGGAGGTTAACTGGGCTCCAGTCTGAAGAAAGATGTTGTATGTATACATAAACATCTTCTGGAATAGCCTGGGCAATGTATTTCACTCAAGAGCAAGTGTTACAGGAATATGAAATCAGACTCGTTAATCCATGCCATTCTGCACCTGAACACTCTCCGAGCTTCCCTGGTGGACACTGGCAGAGAAATGGTCTCCTGCTGGCTTCATAACCAACACACTGCATGTCCCCTGGGCACGGCTTCTCCACACAAGGATCACTGGACCCTGGGCAGAGTCCTCCTGTGACAAAAGGGGGAACACACATGGTCAGTACACAAAAGGATTCACCCTAAATTGGGTAAGCATGGGAATATTTCAAGAGCTTGGCTCTACAGTCTCTGAGCTGAGTAACAAAGGAGCCACCCAGGAGCAAAAACACCCACAATGGGTGCCCATCACATGTTGCTCCATCTGCCAAACACCACTGTCAGATCAAAGCCGGTTAGGTGTAAACAGTAAATAAAATTTCATTTTTAAGGTTAAAATACACTAAAGTGGCACTTGGACCAGCTTCAACTGAAGAAAGATCACATGCAAAGCCTCTGCTAGCTTTTATCAGAGTGGGATTCTGCATTTGACAGGCATCTGCATGCATGACCTGGGTTCATATTTCATATACAACTTGTCTCTGCCCTCAAAGACTTGAGGGTAGACTGTAAAGAGGTTAGCTGTTGATTCAGAGAAGGGAAAAAGACATTTCTAAAGAAAAGTATGACCAAACTGTGAAAGCGCAACTCACACTGTTTCCTAATTCCTTCTGGTACATGCTATTTTATTGATTAGCTGTAAGTGTTCCCTACCAGCTATAAAAAATAGTAGAATTACCCTCGCCAAAGGAAGGCTTCCTTTCTCTCTGTTTGATGTTCATAGCACAGAAAGATGAAAGGTTAATCTCTCAAAAGGGAAATCCTGGAAAGCAGATTAATTGATTAAAGCAGAATCCAGGGCCCAAGTGAGTTAGGTCAGAACTGTGGTGAGGGAAGATATGGGTCCACTGAAGGAAGTGCTGTTTTCAACAGTTCTGGGTATTTTAAGTGTAATTGGGCCCCTTCCAACCTTATAAGAGTTTAAGTGGTAACAGGACTATAGGAAAGGAGACCTGAATTAAAACTAACTCATAACAGGAGTGGTAATTTCCAAAATGGGTTGGCAGTGGCCTAAGGGAGCACCTCTTTCATTTGAACCTCTAATACACTGGACATCAGTGGCTTTGTTCCTTGGCAAGAGTGGACTCATTATCATATTCTTCTCCATGATGGTTCTTTCCCCATCATTAAGCACATTGTCCCATAACACAGTCATTTTTCTTGTTGTTGTTCAGGAGAAAGCAAAAATGCAATGGTAACTACATAAAAAACATTTTAAAAACTGCACTCGTCAAAAGAAGCAATATAAGTAGCACCAGCAAACTCAGAATTCATAAATCCTATTTTCCACTGGTTTACAGCTTAGTAATAAAAGGCACTCTTGGCATTGATCCAGCTTTACAAAGTCTTAGGAGATGAAGGCATTTTTAACTGAAAAATTAGAATGATATCTATAAATAGTTCTTCAAGACCCATATGCCCTGAAATATATCTTCTAATTTTCTTCCCTCCAAAATTTTATTCTTTTTATGTATTTATCAGTATTCATGGAACTTAAAACAGCTGTTTGACCATCTCATGACTCACTTCAAGAGACTACGATAACCAATTTTTAAATGACTTTTAGCACATTCATTCAACAATAAGAACAAAATAATAATTTGTTGAATTCATTCAACAAATTTTTTTTAATTAATGGAGTAAAATAATTGTTCAAGACCAATGAGATAATAAGCCTGGATATATAAACATGAAAAGCAATGACATCAAAATGCAAACACATGACTATTATGCAACAAGGTAATATGTAACTTCTGGATTACTTGGGCATTACCTTTCAATTAGACATAGTTTATGTTGTAAAAAGTATGACACTTTCTATTCTGCGTGTATACTTTTTTTTCTTTTATTTTAATCTTTTATTTTAGCCAGTCTAAGGATATCCTCTTTATCAATTTTTATATTTCTGAGACACAGCTGTAAATATTACATTTTTAGCCTATTTTACTTTTATTTAATGGCTGCATTACTATGAAATCTTGCATTACCAAAAATCCACTTTAAAAGCCAGTTTCAAAGGAAGAAAAACAAGGTAGATAATTTCAGATCTGTGCCAGCAAAGCTGTTCATTCCTGTAAGAATCAAAGTCACATTATAAAAAACAAAACAGCTATAAATGTTTATAATAAAAGCTAAATACTATATTTTAGAACAACAATTCAGAATTGGGGTAGTTCTACTTTTTATCCGCGTCTGGCTTTTCACTTAGCATTTACTGGGCCCTGGTGATTGCCACAGGGCTTCTCAGCTTATGTCTCACATCTCTGACTTCAGGTTAAAGCATAAACTCATCGCTCCTCTCCTTATTTCCTTGTGTTATGATGCAGAGCAACCCATACAATGAAATTACAGTCATTAATCCATGGATTATGCTAGATCTAATCCCTACTATGAAAAATATAGCTCAAGGATATATTTTAAAACATTGATATAAATATTAGAGCAAGCACATTCTAAAATAATATTAAAATAAACAGATATATAATATATACTTAGATTCATTCCAGCAGCTATTAATTTTGATATATTCTTTTTGTTTTTAGTGGTTTCTTTAGGGTCAAGGGGATAATTTTTGGCAAGGAATGTGTCCGTTGATACTTTAAAAATGCTTTCAAAATCCTCTGAGGCTCCCTCCCCATGCCATTGCCTGGGACAAGCTAAGCCACAAGCATACGATCTGTGGCTGCTTCAGGTTGCTGTGTTCACAGGCTCACTCATTGGTGGCTCAAGGAAGCATGAAGGCAGGTTAGAGTCTGCAGGTCAGTGTATGTGAGACGCTCTCCTTAGCTGGGTACAGAGCTGACCTTGTGCACCAACTGCGGCCTATTCCTAGTAAAGACTTACAAAGTTACTGAAAAACAAGATCCTCAAAAATGAATATTGTCCACATCCAACACTGCAGCCCTTTCCTTTCTATAAACCACCATAAGAAATTAGGTCTTTCCTGAAATGTATATTATCAGAGGGACTTCACTTTTGGACACCAACCCTGAAAGATCTCCTATGATCTGGGCCTCAGATGGACATAGGTCTGGATGAACCTCTTTCCAGTCAAAGCCTGAAGTTCTTTAGCTCCATAAAACCCACTATGTTTTAAGTGGATGCTGAGGGGTTAACTTTTTTTTAGAAAAAACATGTTTACGTCATCCCCTTTTCAGGGAAGTGTATATACCTATCATTGTTAAGAGCTTTAAAGACCCTCTCTCTGGTGGCAGAAAGTACCTCATCAGCTCCTGAGTACCAGTTAAGAGACAAAGTGTCAACTCCTGTTGGCTTCTGGGAGGAAGTTTATCTTATTAACTATCATTAAATAATCCAGGTTTAATGAACTGGTGCTGTGTTCGGTGACAGCCTAGGGAGTGGGGGCTTGTAGACCTGCATACACGGCATCTCCAGGCATCCATCAATTTGGTGCCAGAGTGAGCATGAAGGGAGAAAGGCTCTCACTTTATCAAACTCACTGACACCATTTATTGTATGCCAGGGCAGGACCAGATGTTTTTAGCTTCCTGTCATAACATAAAGCAAGGAGAGTAAGCCCTTTTCCCCATTCCTAGGTCCCCTTGGGAAGGCAAGCTGTGTGATAGGAAAGGCTACTGACTGCATTGACAAGCTGCAGACCTGGATTTGGCTCTGGCTGGTTATTTGATTTAATCACTGTGTGGCCTTGAATTAGTTCCTCGGGTTTTCTGGGTTTCAGTTTCCTTTTCAGAAAAGTCAGGATAATGGTTCTTCACAGCATTGTGAAAATTAAATGGGCTAGTGTATGTAAAAGCAACTTGTAAATATTTTTTAAAAATTTACTCAGGTCTCAAACCTGGAGACATCAACTTGACTTGGCAGCATGGCAGAGACCTGAACTTGGGTGTAGTCTTTATGTGCTATTCTTTTTGGACTAGATTTGTGTTTTGTAAGCTGGTAGATGATAGAAAATACATGTGGACAGGAGGCATAAAATAAGACCTGGAGCCTTTCACTCATCAGCATCCTGGCATGTGTCTCTGGATGTCTGCACCACCTTCTCTGTCCCTGGTGCAGCTGGTGTTACACACAAGCTTTTCCACCAGGAGAGACGTGCACACAATGTGGCCAGTCTCTGGAGGAAGGTTTTCCACCTTCTGAAGGTTTGCTCAGGTAGAATTTTTGGTCACTTTCTACAGCACTGACGACAGACAGTTCACTGGAACAGAAGCTTCAGCGCTTTGGAATGTGCAGGGCGAAGAGCAGCTTCTGGAGGTTTTAGAAGGGTCTCACTACCATATTTAGGTTCTCCTCTAGTCTTCACAGTATCCCCACATCCCCCTGGCTTAAGTCTACACCATTAGCCAATATATCAGTATCTATCTGTGATTATTATGCTGCCACTTTAAGCTGACTCAACCTCTTGATTTATGCCAGCCTTATTATACTGAAGAATCCAATAACTAACAGTAAACACTCTACACCCAGAACTCATATGCTTGCCAAGATGCCATGTCCTGGCCAATGCCATGTAAGTGAATGAGCTGCCTTCTTAATTCATGGCCTGTAAGAAGTGTTCTAATACAGTACATTTTCCCTAGGTCTGTGCTTTGAAATAGTCTCTTGTATGTGCCCAGAGGCAGAGACTCCCAGAATGTTGTTTGCTTGACTCCACGCTTCACAAGGATAAGGACCACATGAGTCTTTTTCACCATGTATCTACAGAACTCCGTCCAGGGCTTGGTGGAAAACAGCATACAATTAACTACTGAGTGAATGAGAAAAAAACAAAAACAACAAAAAAAACCAGTACCCCAAATCTGAGTCTTTCCCTTTACAGCTTTTGCTGCTTAGAATGCATTCCCTGCTTGGCAAAAACCCATATGATAAGCTTCATTGCTCCCAATGCCTTTATAGACTCCTCCAAGTAGAAGTGATGGGTCCCTCCTTTATGCCTCCTCTGTGCCCCAATTATACCACCTATAACTCTTTATAGCACATATTTGTTTATGGCCAAGGATAAAAGGGACTTCTCTTGTTTGGCTAGAAAATGAGGATTCAAAAAGTCATAATAACTATCTTGAGCTATCTGGAGGGCTGGCTATAGAGGTGGTGGTTAGAGAGATTAGATTCTGTGTGCGTCTAAAGCAGTGGTGGCAAACTTATGGCACACATGCCGCAGAGGGCTGTTTGTATCATTGAAAGCACTAAAAGGTTCTGCATCACTGGAATGATTGAGTTGTATGGTGTTACAAGGAGATGGACTTTTGTGCACTAGTGTATAAAGCAGAAGATCATCTCAAGGCTGTCTTGCGAGCCCCTGGCATTGGTAATCAAAAATGGACTGAATTAGCATGCCACGAATACAGTAAACAACATGTGTGCATGTGTCAGAGACTGGGAAACATCCACGTTCTTTCCAAATCTGTACAAAGGTGGTAAGGTTCAGTTATTGGGAAATGCTTTTGAGTAAGATGGCCAGGTATGAATCCTGGTTCACCCATCTACTAGCTCTGTGACCTTGATTAAATCAATTGAACTTGTCAAATCTTAGTTTCATTAATTTTGAAGAAAGTTAATGATACCTACCCTATAAGGTCATGGTGAGGGTTCAATGTACAGCTGAAAAATAGCATAGAAACTGACCATAGCTCAACATGTATTAGTTATAATGTCTGTCCCTGCTTTAATCTGCGCATGAAATTGCACACTGTTTCTCATTTCCTTGGATCTCATCCTTCTTGACCTGGAACTCTTCATTCTGGACACCTGTAAAATTCTAGGCATCTTTCTAGATCTCACTCAGGTAGTATTACCTCTAGTGTTCATTACCTCTAGCACCCCCTATGACTTTGCCCTCCCTCCACTTGCTGAGGATACAGGTGCTACGTCATTCATCTTCACCCATGGTAATGCTCCATTTATTTCAACAGGAACTCTAGATTCTGTTCTGTGTTCCATATCTGAATAAAAATGGCAAATCAGGCAACCACTCCTGCCATCATATTAGATTTAAACTCTGATGGTCTCATTGGGAGTTCATTTGTCTAGAAAAGAGTATCATTTTTAAAATATATTTTTGTAACAGATTTTTTAAAAGTCCACAAAATTTTAATATGTGAAAATCAGCACAATCATGTAGGTTGTTCTGGTATCCTTTTATGAGGGTACTCTTACTTCCCTTACGAGAGCTGCAGGGCATATATCACTCCCCATTTGTTTAACCTGGTGTCAGACTTTCTACTGAAGTGAAAATGTTTATTAAACATCTGAAGTTTATCAGGAGCTATCTTTGACACCAGAACTTTGTATCTTTTGAAATTCTGTTTAAACATGATTCTAGATGGTAGCTGGAATTTAATAGCTTATTTGGCTTTAAAATTCAAGTCTGCTTTCATTTTGTTAACACAATTCAGCATTTTGGTTCAAGATGCTAATGATGATAATTTGGCCCAAAATAGCTGTGTGAGAAAAAAATGAGTTCCAAGTTGAGAAGAGCAGAGAACACTGAGGCCAACTCTGTATAAACATTCCTGTACAGGACAGTCTGCACAGTCACCTCTATTTATCATGTTAATTATTCCACCAAGTAGGGGAAAGTCCATTTAATGAATCTGTTGGCCCCCTTTGGTAAACATATGAGCAGCCTATGCTAGTAATGTATGTGTTAATGTGTGTGTGAGTGTGTGTGCCTGTGTGTTTGTGAAGGGTATTTGTTGAATTTAATGCCTCTCCTTTCCAATAAATAAGAAGATGCCTAAAAATGTCTACTACTCACTTTAATAATTATTCACTGTATTTTTATGTAAAGGAAACTAAAAGTGAGAGAGCTATTACTATTAAAATGAAGAGCTTTCTCCTTGAACTTGGAGGAAACTTTTTCCTCTTTTGCTGTTAAGATTTGTCTAACTTTGGTTTCCTGAGCACCAGGATTAGTCATCCAGGCTGCAAGGGCAGACTTCTAGGCTGTGGCATAAACCTGCTATCCACGTCTGAGTGTGGGGCTCACCATTTCCAGTAAGCCCTCTGCATACTGGACACTAAGAACTTATCTTCTGAGAATGGTGATCAGTCTGCTAGGAAGATGGGGTTAAATGTTCTTATAGAGTGCATATCACTGAGGTTATGATTCAAATAAAAAATAGACGAGTCCATGTTATTAAGATGCAAATAATAAAATAGGGGACTATGGAGACCTTCTACTCAATCAGCATGCCATTCTCCCAGCAGTACAGCCCTCAGCCAGGAGCATAGCTATTTATAAAGTAGAGATTATCATACATCAGCTGCTACTGATGAGGATGGAACAGAGGGCCTTTTGATTTCCTTTTATCACTAAAATATAGAATTTTATTTTATAGCTCAATTATAAGAATGACTTAAAGATGAGAAGAGGCTGAGCACTTGGCCTGACTACACACAGAGCTCTCATTGAAGAAATGCTCTTTTCAAACTCAGAAGGTTTCTTCTTGGGCTATCTAGGGGCAGAATGACAAAAATTTCTGGCAGTCTTGGCTTACTGGGAGAAGAAAGGTTTATAGGGAAGAGGCAACAGGACTGAGCAAGGATATCACCTTGAAACTTTTTGGATTTAAAAAATTAATCTTATAAAAAATAAAGATCAAGCCCTTCTATCTCCAGCAAAGGTTATCCCTCTAAGTACCTCCTTTAAAGAAATTCTACAAAGCCTGCCTACTACCTGTCTCTTTTAAATGAACTCATACTCATCTCCAAAGACTCAGCACATAATGGTCCCTGTGTATGAATATCACAGAAGGCCACAGGAAGAACTCTGGGCTTTCTATTCTGTAACACGTATTTTGGAAGTACTTCAGCAAGTAGGTGCTTGCAAGCTGGATTCACCATAGGCAGGTTCCAAGGGAAAGTCAGTTCTTTTCACTTTGACTCTTCAGTGCCTAGGACATTGCTTCTCCACAGATTTTTGACCTGATTTTTTAGAGTACAAGGATTAATTAGATAGTATAGTTTCTCCTGCAGAGTCTGCCCTGTCACATCCTGAATACTTTGAAGCCTGCTGTGAATCTCTGCATGGAGGCCTTAGTGGATCTTTAATGCATAAATCAGTTCCCCTGAAAAGGAAATCTAGGTAAGGCCCAGGCAGTTGGCATTCATAAATTCTGCATGCTGATAACACCTGCCAGAAGTGGATTTCACCTAGCATGGACGATTTAAGTTTCTTTGCAGTAAATTTACATATTCTGCAGGTCTGGTCATCATTGCATCTACCTGATGAACGAGGAAATGGAATTCACTGGGTACCACTGAATGAATGTCTGGAAGTAAGTGTCTTCTGCTTGCTTGGAAATTGTAAAAATTATTTCTTGAAGGGAGTCATGAGCCCTAGGTACTCCTTTTAATAACTACAACCAAGAATTTTTTACAAGAGAAAAGGCCAGGGATGCTGTCTGTCCCTAGTTCCCTTCAAGGATGTTTTACAAATGGCCACCCTTATGGCTGTAGTCCCTGTTGACCAAGTTGACACTGGATAGAAAAAGTCTGGGTGTAATTTTCTAAGAAGGCAGTCACTTTATGGCTCCACACATCCAAGAGAGGACAAGGAGAGAGAGAAATTGTTCTTACTGACCACTATAGGCATATGCCTCTGTGCAGCTATGACCTCTTCCCAGTAGAGTTCAAGATTCAACAACTGTAGTAACATCAATAAATACGAGCCATTCTGTTTCCTTGGCTCTGAGGACTGAATCCATTCCATGACTATACTCCTGAACATCTGGCCCCTGTGTTTAATGAAGCAAATCGAACTGCCCTTACCCTCTGCAACAGCTTCCTCACTTGTTTCCCTGTCTCTGTCTGACCCCCTCTCATCCATTCCCTTCTGCAGCTTTTTGTGAAAGGCAGAGCTGATCCTGTCACTTCTTCACTTCTAATCAGCCAGTGATTCACACTGCCTGGGATAATTTCTAAATTCTTCATCCTAGTTAATAGCCTTTGTGTGATCACTGGGTCTGCTCTCCAGGCTCATCTGTCATCACTGCCATCTCTTTCTAGTGAGGAAAAAGCTCTTTCAATCTTCTCATGTAGGTTCTGCTCTCGCACTTAAGCCTTCCATACAAGCTGCTTCTTGCCTGGAACACTCTCCTTCCGCTCTTCTGATTCCTGCTTGACCTTTATCTCAACCTACGGGATACTCCTTTTAGGAAACCTTCCCTGCCACTGGGTCCTCCCTTCGGATTTTGTGCTTCTAACAATGCTTATCACATGGGCCTGCCTGTCTGTCTGTGCTGCTCAGCTAAAGCTCTAGCAGAATAAGGATTGGCTTGTCATGTTTCTCCTGAAGCCTCAGCATCTATCATAGTTATTGGACACTTGGTAGATGGTCAGTTAATATTTAGTTGAGTAGGTGACTGAATGCTTGTGTGCCAGGAAAAGTCTACTCCAGAAGTCTTAGGGGATAGAAAAGTTCTCTAAACTGCACTCACCATTACAGGTACAACGCACATTCCTGTAAAAACGCGGACACACAAAGCTGATTCGAGCTGTGCTGTAGGTCAGGAGTGCATGGGAATCCAAGGACAAGCTTTGCTCACAGTGTTGCTCCTGACAGTCCAGCCCTGAGCAGTTCTTCTCCAGGATAGCTGAGATGCGCATGACATTCTCCAGGTGCCGCCTGGCACTGGACAGCTTCTGGATCAGGTAGGCCGGTTTGTAGAACTCATTAGTGTGCATTTCCACAGCGAACAGCATGTCCAGATGGTTGGTGCCTGCCACGGGCTGGATGCTGATGATGTGCAGGCTGTCCTGCTTCTGGGTGAGGACTGCATTCCTCAAGGTGCGCCGGAACCCGTGCATGTGCAGACCCACAAAATCCTCGGGGGACACATTCTCAAAGCGGATGGTGACAGTGTTCTGCAGCATCTCATGCACCAGCTGCTCCACATGCACAACCACGTCAATGGGCACCTGGAAGCGGCCATCACTCACAGACACATTCAGGACATATTTGCCACTGTCCAGGCCTCCCAGGGCAATGATTTTCCCATCATGACTGTTCACTTTGAACAAGCTTTTCTGTTCTGATTTCAGGGCAAATGTGAGCACATCATACATATCTTGATCTGTGGCATGGATTTTTCCAATAACCCCACCAGGAAAGTCATCCTCCATGGTGACAATGAAGATTTCCAGGGGGATGGCCGTGGGCTTGTGGATACTTTCCTCAATGACCCTCACACGGATATAGGAATGAGACACTTGCTGTGGTTTGCCTGAATCCTTTGCCTAGGGCAACCAAAAAAGGAAGAAATAAAGGATTGAGAAAAAATTATAATAATTTTTAAAAACCCTTCAAATAGAAGATGTCTATAGCTTTCATCAGATTTGCTTCTTTCTCTGTCCTGTCACTATTGTGAATAATGCTGAGGATGTGCATTTAAGCAAGAGGAATGATTTATCACCTTAAATTCCCATATGTATACTTTGTTATGGACAATAAAATGTGTCAACACAATAAAACCAGTGGGAGTGAATTGGGAAGGAGGTTGGGAGTGCTATGAGACCCAACATGCCCACAACAGGCTGGCCTTGTTTTCATTTAGGATAGGAACCACAGGGAAAAACCTCATAAAATGGCATTTCCACTGAGAAAAGGAATCTTTATTTTCTGTTGGATTCTTTCCTTTTGATTGGACCAGATGGCACCTTTCCACACATTTAAAAAACAACATTATTTAAGTGGGAATTACATCAAAGTGAGGTTTAGAATAAAAACTGGCACAAAAAGGAAAAAAATAAGTAGCATAAAAAATCCCTTTCTCTTGCTTCTTTATGTAAAATTAATGGAACAAACCACTCTGACAACAGATCTTTACTGAGCACCTGCCACATGCAAGGTGGAGATAGTGGTGTAAGGCTTCAGAAGAAGGACATATTCCCATGGGCTGGCTCCAAAGGCAGGGATCTGAGGATGCATGGCCACAGTGATCTTGTAGGCCTGGCACAATCTGGGGTAATGTGTCTTTGTATATGGAAAGTAATGCAAGACCAAATGCCAAGATGGCATACAGATCAAATCTTGAATCTTAGTTCTGCAGCTCACTCCACATCTAGATTTTCAGCTGGCACTGAAAATATCTGTTGTCCCTTGAGTTCTACTCTGTGATAGAAAATCATTTGCATAATATTGTTGAAGGAGTGGTGGCATGATTGAAGAGTTCATTGACATGCTCAGAGCCAACATTAGTAACTTGGATGGGTTCATGGAGTAGAATGAATTAACCTATCCAAAGAAATAACAGACAAATGCTATGCAAATATAAAAAATTACTATTGTTATTATTGTCACTGTTCATGATGGGTCTAAGTTGGCCTCTATGATTAACTGTGGGTTAAAAAGTTATTCTACTTTACTGATAGGATCCAAATTGTGGTTTCGGCAAAGTTCCTATGCTGGAAGTTTGTGTACTTTCTCATTTTGTCATATAGCGTTTACATATCTGCTACTTTTGCCTGTCTGTTTTATTTCATGTCATACAGGTCAGTGACCTTGAGGAACTTAGATGCTGGGAAGCTAGTGCCAGCTGAGTCCTTGGTTTCCTCTTTCCTCATAGGGAAGGCCTACCAAGCAGAGGCCATGATAAGGCTAAATCCCATTAAGACAATGATTGGTACCTTCCCCAAGTGAAGTAATGTAATGAATAATATTTGGTACAAAGCAACAAAAATTGACCAAATAATGGTCTTTGTGGGTCAATTAGGACCCCGGGAATTTTCAGAATGCAGATTTAGGCCTAGTGACTGTCTGCTGGGCACAAGGTATAGGAAAGTCCTTTCTGAACAATGATGCTTCCTTTCCTTCTTGTTCAATTTCACACACAGAGGCTGCTTTTATTGGTGTGAAATTGAATTTGAGTTTAAAAGGGGAACATTCTTTCACTGTAATGAATTATTTTGACCCACTCAACAAAGAAAAATCGACCACAAGAGAGAAAGATGAACTAGAGAGAAAGGCAGTCTGAAGTGGACAGAGAGTAAGGCCATACCTGGACACACAGCACGTATTCTGGAGAATCCATGTGCTGGAAAACCACTGATGACCGAAGGATCCCATGAGGATCCAACACAAACTCCTCCTCTTCATTTCCCGACAAAATAGAGAATGAGAAGGGAGGCCCATTGTGAAAGGAGTCTCTGTCTGTCACCACCAGCTGCAAGATGCTGGTGCCCACTGGCTTATTTTCCTGTATAAAAGAGCATAGTAAAAAAGGAAGATAAAATTACACCTCTTTTCACATTAAAATAAAAACTCCCATCACTTCTGACTGAGAGTTTTGTGCTAGAAAGCCAGGCTTTCAGCTGAAGGGATTCCCTGTGATATTATCTTGCCTTTGAAAATGTACTGGCCTCTGCAAGTATCATATTTCCCATCTGTGGATGCCTCACCACTGCTCCCCCATGAGATGGTACTCCACAGGTGAGAACAGGCCCTTGTTTGAATGGGTTGTATGTTCCATAGATGGTGTGGGATACACCTTGTCCTGCATTGGCTTGCAGTGCTCCTGAAGAGCTCCTTCCAGCATTTGTGACTATGTTAGAAATTCTCCCAGGCTGAGAAAACATCACCCTGTTGGGATAAGAAGGCATTTCCTCACACTTATCACAATTCAGTTATGCGGAGGCCCAAGCAACACTGTCACACAATGTCACACATCAGACATTCTGTGGGGACATGCTGGCAATTTGCCAGTCAATACACAAAGGCATATGCCAGGTGGATCACACCCCCAAAACATAATTTTGCCTTGTGAGAGAAAGCAGGTAGAATATTTCTCAACTTGAGAATAAAGAGAAAAGTAATCTTTATTGAACTTTGTCAGAATAATTAGGAGCCCAGATGCTATTATGTAATCATTATTTTGAAAATCTCTCTACCTTTTTCCCCATATGGAAAAACAAAAACTCATTTTGGCTCCTTAGGTCAAAAGTTATCTTCATTTTGAAAGTGCTGAATTAAATTTGGTGTAGCTCAGGCATAGTTTCCTTTCCCCATTGTTTGGACTTTAGCATTATCCAACCTGCAGTGATCTGCAGTCAGCTGTTTTAGTTCAGGCTTCTCACAACATTGACTTAAGTGGGTTTGGTCACAGAAATGGTGACAGTGATCCACTGCAGTGTACAGTGCAGGCCCACTGAAGTCTTATGTGCTGAATTAGTCTTAATGAAAACCGTGTGTTGGAATTCAGAAGCAGTTCTGGGCTGCGGAAGGGAGGTACTTATTTTAAAGGAGCAAAAAAAGAGGATCTCAAAGACCCCATATTGGCTCCTTCTCTCAAGTACCTCTTGGTTGTCAAGAGCTAGACATGGTCTCCCTCTGGAGCCCATCATGAGGCTGTCTCAGCTGAGAGAAGATTTACTATTTCACACTGACAACATACTTGGCACTGCAGAAAACAGGTTTATTGATTTGTTTGCTTGCTCTCTAAAGGCTGCTTCCTCCACAGAGAGAAGGAGAGAATGAGAATGTGTGCCCTCACCATCTGAGAAAGTAAGGTGTAAAATAATACAGGCAGGCCCAGCCTGTGGAGGGGGACACAGCCACCACTCACAGGCTGAGACTCTCATTCTTTCACTGCTGACTTCCTGTTGTGCATTTGAAAATAGTCTGTCAGGTTGATAGATACATGCTATAAAAGTGAATGTTAAGTAGGCAAGGCCCATTTCGTTTTGGGTGAAGCATACGGTGGTGGTGAGATGCAGAGAGTGAGCTTCCTGGTGGATGACAGTCATGGACACAGGAATCTGAGAGAAAGAAATGGAGGATGATGCAGGCCCTGGTGGAAGCAGCAGGGTGATCAATATACACAGCTGCTGCAAGAAGCATCAGAGGAGAGGAAAGCCAAAATTCTCCCAGGAAGGAATAGGATTGTGCTGACAAAGGGTTGGGGACAAAGTGGATGGCTGCTTGCTTAATGACTACCTCCAGGCCTGATTCCTGGACAGTTCAGTGGACTGGAAGCAGGAGAGGCCAGCTGTAAATGGCCAATTCAAAGTCTTCAAGGTTATCCCAAAGGAGTCTCAAGACTTGGCCCACTCTCATCTTTCCTTCTACCCACAAAGCCCTGGGTGATTCTGAGACCAAACTGGAATCAGAATACCTGTGCCAAGACATGCACATCAATTTCTGTCTACTCCAAGTCCTCCACAATATGCCTAGGATGGATTTACTGACCTTTCTAAAGTTGGGCTTCTAACTCCTAGAAATATTAGGAAGTAGAGGAAGCTCAGCTTCTGGTACTATGTTCATGAAATATCTTGTGAATAAAAAATAAATGGAAAAGAGATTTATTCTCTCTGAGAGCAGAATGCCAGCAGTATGTTACTTTATCTTGAAGTCTAATTTTAAAGAGCAGATGTATTTAAAGTGCCATACAAATTACTTATGGAAGATTAATTTTAATGAGTAGCAGCTCTTTCCTGATGACTAACCTCCCTTTGACTGATGAGATGGCTCATGTCAATCTCCTGCCTCATGTCAATTTCTGTCAGAAAAGCACAAGGTTGTTTAAAGATAGTTTGGCATTATGGAAAGAGAGTATTTTTTCAGGAAACAGACCCAAGTCAAATTCTGACTCTGCCACTCATCAACTGCATGATCTTGGATTAATGATTTAAGCCTTTAACTGTAAAGTGGGGGTCGAGCCACAATGGCACTTCACAGTCTGCTGTAGGGTTAGATTGTGTACATAAAGCATCTAACATTGAAAGAACCTGGTCCTTGAAACTTCTTACTAATATTTATTCATCAGTTATGACAGAAGAACCAGGCTCTTTTCATACCTTTTCTATGACTAGACAAGTAGATATTAACTAATAATAACAAAAATTCTAATGAGTGCTATGGTCTGAATGTCTTGTGTCCTCCTCAACTTCGTATGTTGATAGAGGATTCTCAATGAAACAGTTTTAAGTACCATAGCCATTGGGAGGGATTAGTGTTCTTATAAAAGAGGTCCAAGAGAACTTTTTAGCATTTTCAACCATTTGAGGACACAGCTAGATGTCAACATCTAGCAGAGACCAAATCCCCATCAGATATAGCACATGATGAAGTTTGATATTAGACTTCTCAGCCTCCAAAACTGTCAGCAATAAGCTTCTGTTGATCATAAATTACCCAGTCCAAGTTGTTTTGTTATGCATCCCTAACTCACTAAGACAATGAGTAAACCACATCAGAAGCCAGAGGCTGAATTCATATAGATAAGTGCTTGGCAGACAAGATCTGATTACCTGAATCACAGCAGTATAGTTGGCAGGAGTAAATACTGGACTGTTGTCATTCACATCAGAAATATCAATGTTGACAGTTGCAGTTGATGACATTGCAGGAATTCCACTATCTACTGCTTGGACAAGCAGGGAGTATCCAGACACCTGTTAAGTCACAAAGAGGTGATAAGAATGAGGGTAGTGGTTCCTTCCTTCTGTACACTCTTAGAGAAAATGCAGATTATGGCTGTGTTTTGTTAAAGATCAACTACCTTCACTTGGATTCTCTAGACCAGGGTTTCTCAAGCTCTTCACTCTTGGCATTTGGGGCTGAATAATTCTCTGTTGTTGGGATTAACTTATATGTTGCAGGATGTTTAGCAGCATCCCTTGCTTCTACCTACAAGGAGCCACTATCACCCTCTGCTCAGTTTTGACAACCAAATAATGTCTCTAAACACTCCCTATTGGACCAATGGCTCTGGGCCTTTGTTCAGCGTAACAGTTGTCACCACTGATCTCTCTTATTGCTTTGAATATTTCTGATGTCATGGGAATATATCATCCAGTGGATTCTATCTGCTTTTTTAGTATTATTATTATGATATTGGTTTTTATATTTCATTTTTTTTTTGAAGACATATTTTTCATCAAGAAAGACAATGTTCAGAAACTTAGTTTAACCTGAGACAGAAATTTTTTGGATTATCTTTCTGGCCTACATACCTTCAATGACCTTTTTGTATCTACTTGCCCATGGCTAAAGTTGCTCATGAAACCAATACTTATATGTATTTTTCTGTTCTTGCTATAGGAGGGACTGACATTCAAATGATCCAGAAAGATACATACTTACCATTTCTTTAAAATCTTCATCAATAACAAATTTTCAGAAGCTATTATTGGCAGAAAATTCTTTCAAAGTCTAACCCAAATACTACTTTGTGCTGTATTTTACCCCATTCCTCTTTACTCATCTTATTTAGAATGGAGAACCTTGCTCTTTATGCTCATGCAAGCCATGCCAATAATTCCAGTGAAAGGGTAGATATTGGACGGAAAGGGAGCTGACCTAAACTAGCTTACCCGTTCCCGGTCCAATTTCTTCTTAACCTTCACAAGTCCCACGACAGGATCCACAGCAAATTCATTGTCTCGATCTCCACTCACAATGGAAAAATGGATCTGTCCATTAGGCTGGCTGTCTATATCTTCTGCAATTAGCTTCATGGAAAACAAGCAAAACAAAAAAAGATTTGACTCCAGAGAGAAAAAGTTTATTTTTAGGGTCCTGTGTCTGACAGTCCTGGGAGCTCTGCTCACCACTACCAGTGATCAGATGCCTTAAATGGAAGAGATGATGGATTGACTAAGTAGGGCAGTACAAAGGCTGGAGCCCCATTTTATATTTTTGTTAATTTCCACTTGCTTATAGTCTGATGCTTATTAGGCTTGATTTTCCTCACATCTTAAGACAGTAAGAATGGAGCCCAAAGCTAACTGATGGGAATGTTTTCATAATTCCTCAATTCTGAAAAGAGTGGTATCTATTACTAAGTTGAACATTTTCTAAACTTACGCATCTCCACATAAGGAATACCAAGAAAGCTCCCCTTTATCACACAGCAAACATGCTATACATTGACTGCTAATCCAAACTGGTAATGTTGGGATTTACTTGCATGGACAGAGTCTTGTACTATTCAGGAGGGACAGAGAGCCTGGGAAGTCTACCTTTGATGTGTAAAGAATGAACTATCATCCAGAACAGGGCTGCAGCCACCCACAACCTGACACTGTAGGCACTAGAGAAGAGATGGATTGATGGATGAATGGATGGATGCACAGATGGATGGATGGAAGAGACCTGTCCAACTTAAAGTTCTGTAAGAGTGGTAAGAAAGGTACTCACTGTTTCCAAAATGTAATTTGTGGCCTAAGGAAACCTGAGTTCTAAGAATACATGGCTTATTCTTCTAATTCTAAGTGTTATTTCAAAAAATCCCTTCTCCAAAGGGCTCCTCTAAGAGTGAACAATCAATATCAAACTTACTCCCATTTATAGCTGCCCTACTCTGTGTCTATGTGTGTGGGTGGGTGGGAGGGAGGGATTTTACTTACTTTAGTCACCTAATCATTTTTTAAATTTTGAAATGATAAATTAGAATTGATATATTTATGGAACACAAAGTGATGTCATGATTAATGAAAACCATAGAGAAAAATTAAATGAAGCAAATTAATGTATCTATCACTTCAAATGTTTATTATTTTGTGTTGATTTTGAAATATACAATATACTATTTATTCATCACACTGTACAGTAGATCTCAAAAAGAAAGAATAGAATGACCTTCTATATATCTAATAACAACATCCAAATTCACAAATTAGTAGAAACTATCATTAAATTTTCATGACATAGTCTGTCTTGGTTTCTCGAAAAGTATACACTTCTTGTTGAAAAGAGATTATTAGTAACTTAGGCCTTGATATAAATTAATTTTTCAGATGCCTTCTAATATACAAACTGGAGAATGTATCACTGAAACACCCAGGTCTGACTGGCATTCTTGGAGACATAAAAGAGGAAGTTTGAAGAAAGTCCAATATGAACCTTGCTAACAACTTCACTAAAATGAGGATGTGTAGTCTGAGACATCTAGACACCCCTGGTACCTACCAAAATGACAGAATCCCCCACCAAAGCATCTTCACTGATGACAGCACTGTAGATATCTTGGCTGAATTTAGGAGGGTTGTCATTCACATCTGTGAGGTTGATGCTGACAGTGGCCGCAGCACTGAGAGCTGGGGTTCCCCCATCTTTAGCTTCCACAACCAGGTAAAATCTTTTGCATAATTCATAGTCCAGGGCTTCAGAGACAGAAATACCTCCTTTGAACAAAAATGGGAAACTTTAGATTTGACTAAAGGTTGGTCATCTCTTCCACAATTGTGATAGTTTTAATATCAATGTGAGTCAAGAATTTTAATTATTCAGGATTTTACTTAATGCCTCCCTTGAAGAATTCCAGAAGTCTGATTAATGCTGACAGTTAAAACACTGCTGTACACCAAATACAATACTGAAGAACAAAAAATCCTTGTAAGTTTCTGTGACAGTTTTTGAATATTTTGACACAGCATGAAAATCTTTGCTCCTATATCTAGGGAGCAAGGATACAGACAAGCATCCCTAATAATTTTCTCCCGATTTCCTAACTCAAGAAGACTAAGAACGAGTTGAGATGTGTGGATGTGATTATATGACTGCTCCCTGTCAGCGTGCAGATTTAAGCTGAATTTACTTAGCCAAAAAGATGGTTTGACCAATGATAATGCATATACATAAAACTACTATGGCTCAAAGAGGGCAAAGATCTCTGGAAGCTTAAGGTATAAGTGACATAAAGCAAAAGGACCTACTTGGTAATCAGACAATTCAGTGGCCAAATATTAAGTTTGAGTTCAGTACCCACACTTAGAGACCAGAGATGATAATCTCACGTCACAGAGTTCATAAAATTAAGCAAGTAAAACAAAGAAAAGCAGCTAAATTTGGTGCCATCTCTAGGAAGAGCTCTGTGAATGCTACATCCCTCTTGTCTCAGCCCTTTTTGGTGAGATGACCCAGTCCTGTGTTCTATGATTGGTAGCTGGTCAGTGTATGGATGCAGAGCAGTTCTCAAGGGCATTCACTTTTCTCTGAACTGGAAACAGGACAGTGAGAAGGTCACAGCCATGCACAAAACAGGACTTGTCTACTTGCTAAGATTGCCAATAGGATCCTACCATTTCAGGTGAGAAACAGAAGTCATACCAATAACAAGAGCCCCTTTCTTCCCATAATTAAATTTTCTCAGCACTTGCCATCCCTAGTATTTTATTTTGCATCCTAGCCTTGTTATCTAGTGCCATATTTAAATAGTACTTAAACGTTTCCCCATGGTGTTTATATATAATGGCCATAACTAGACAGACAAAGGCTAACACATATTTAAATAAAGGAAACAGCACACATTTTAATTTGAAGTAATGACCTTAATAAACAGAGGTACTGCTGGGAGAAGCTACTAATGCAGTTCCTCCATCAATATTTCTACCTACTTATAATTAAGGGTGAGGATAGTATCTCCTGAATTTTTTGCATCTTCACAGTTAGTAGTGTTATAATATATCGAGGTTAGAATAGGCATTCCAGAGTTAAGAAGATCTGAGTTTAAATCCTGAATAATCTACATACTAACAGTGGACACCATGGGGAAAATCATGTAACATCTATGGACTTGTCTTTCCCAGTTGGAAAATGTGAGGAACATCTAAAGATTTAATAGGTATCTAGCATATTTGCCATGTTAAATAAATATGGCTAATTACGAAAGCTTCTTCTTTGTATGTACTGACCACCCAAGGGACAACGGATCTTCTTTGCCTCCTTGCTTAGCAGGTACATACTGCTTGAATGACGAGGGACATAGTTAGAAAGGGGGGATGTGAAAGACTCTTCTTATCTGCAAAATGGGAATCAATAAACAAATGAGAATATGCATGAAAGGGCTTTTAAATAGAAATCCAAACAGTAGGAAAATAAAGAATGACTATGTTTACTCTTCAAAGGATAGCCAAACTTCCTTCCTGAATTATGATTTTTATTTACCCAAAAAGAAAAAGACCAACAGCTCTCTTTTTGTTCTCTTGATGTCTAGGCAACTTATCCCTAGGTGATGCTAAACATTCCCCCCAGAGTTTGAAAAGAGTGTAGTGAGAAATGATGGTATTGCGACTAGGAGGAGTGAACAGGTTCAGGGGCAGTGCCATTTCCAATCACCTGATGGATTTACTTGGGAAGACCTAGGGGTCACTATGCAGATCACACTCAAGGTGTGCCTTGGCCAGTGACCAAAGAATGGTAGTGCAGGTGTGGACAGTAGCAAATGGAGGCTCATTTCCAGGAGTATTTCCCAACACATGCAATACAGTCCAAGTTAGGGGGAAAAATAGAAAAAAGAGAGATGCAAACAAATGCTTGTGGTTGGAATAGAAACACCGCTTTATCTCCACATTGAGGAAGCACAAGTGTGCTCCTAAGTCCTCCTGTGTACAAGTTTGGAAGTCAACTTGAGAGTCCAATATTTTCCAAGTAACCCCATAGCTAGAAGCTTGAAATTTAGCAGGAAGCAGTGGGCCGGGTTGTATTCTGGGTCTGCATGCAGATCCTTCCATCAGAACAGTTGCTTCTTCTATGAGGGAGGGAGGAGAAGGAAAAAGAGCCAACCAAGGATGGTAGTTTGAGTGTTGGGAGGAGAGGCAGGATATAGTGGAGCCTTGAATGCAGGTAGATTGCTATTACCCACCTGTCTTTGGATTGATCCTAAATTTTCCCTGTTCATTTCCAGACCGGATAAGATATGTAATTTCAGCATTTGTACCAATATCTTTGCTGGTGGCAAAAACAGCTAGGACTTGGGTGCCAGGAGAGGTGTCCTCAGGCACTGTCACCAGGTAGTCCCTCCTCTCAAACACAGGTGGGTTATCATTGATATCCAGGACAGTGATAGTGATGGTGGCAACAGAGGACAGGGACTGTCCAGGACTCTGGTCACTGGCTCTCACACTGATGTTGTAAGAAGACTGCTGTTCTCGGTCCAGTGGTTGCTCCAAGATGATGATGCCAGATATACTGTCAATGGAGAAGAAGCCATTGGCTGAAGCTGCCAGAGAGTATACCACCTTCCTGTTGATGCCTGTGGGAAACAACACAAGAATGTGAGTGGACAGCAACATGGTCAGGTGCTCTGCACTAAAACATTATAGCTTTGGTGACTTTTGAAAGGCTACTCAGAGGAAAATGGTCATTATAGAAACAGCTGTAGTCTCATAGAAATGTAAACTTCAGTTTGTAAAAAATACCCCATACAATTCAATTAAAAGCTAAAGAAATTGGAAAAATACTGTCAATAAATATCAGCATTAATTTGTTGTTCTTAATATATAACTTTACCCCAGATTCTTAAGAAAAATTCTGAGATACTAATAGATACATGGGTAAAGATGTACCACAGGGGGCCGGAGATTTAGCTCAGTGGTTTCGCTGCCTGCTGCGCAAGCACAAGGACCTGAGTTCGATCCCCAGTACCAAAAAAAAAAAAGATGTACCACAGAAAGAGAAATAGAAATTAATTAACCAATGAATTACTTCCATAAATACATAACTAGAATTTACCAGGCACTATTCTAAGTGCTAGAGCTTCTAGCAGTGGATGAGAGCCCAACATTTCTTAATAATATTTTTATATTTTAGTGGGGTGATTGTTGTGAAGTGAAAACCATGGGGGTCTTTGAAAGGAGAGTACTGGGATGTGGCTTAGATAATAACAGGATGCCTCCAGTTGCTGGCTGACTGAAAGGAACCAGAGAGATGGCTCCATAACCTGCAGGAATAAGTGCATGTGACAATAGTGCCTTGAATATGGGTAATGGTGTGGAGAATGGTGAGAAGGGACTGGGTTCCACATCTCTGAGCACACAGGTGGTGAGAAGTGAGGGTATCTGGGGATGTATTCTAAAATCAAAGTGGTGACACAGGAATGATTTCTGGATGTAAAACTGGCAGGATATGGGATACTGGAGAAAGAAAGGCTTTCAGGAAGACTCTTAGGTTTGAGTTCAAACATCTTGAAAGAGGGTGTTACCACCAGCTGAGATGGAGCGTGCTGCAGAAGTACTAGATTTGGATTAAAGACCAGAAACCCCATTAAGATTAAGTTGGAGATGGCAATTTAATATTCAGTGGAGATGTCAAACATGAAGTTAGGCAGAGAAGGTTGAAGTTCAGAGAACAAACCCAAACTGGGGCTATAAATTTTAGGATCATCAGTGTACAGATACTCTCCAATGCCATAAGACTTGATGAGGTCATAATGGAGCACAGAGGAGAAAAAAGTGAACCTGGAGCACTCCATCAAGTAAGAGTTCAGTATTAGTCCAAAGGAGCTCTTCAGCCCTATGATTTCAAGAAATGTATTTGGTTACTCAAATATTATTTATCTAACATAAAACGTATCAACCAGAAAATATCCATCAACAACCAGAATATTACTGAATTACTGAACTGACATCTGGCTTGAAGGTTGTTTTTATTGGAGGATCTCAGCACTCCACAATGGTTTAGAAACCTCAAATTTGCTTTAGTCTTTATAATTTTTTTTTGTACCAGGGATCGAACTCAGGACCTTGTGCTTGCGAGGCAGGTGGTGGAACCACTGAGCTAAATCCCTGGCCCCAGTCATTACAATTTATAGAAAGGAAAATGCAACAGTTTTGTAGGAAAAATGGTAGCACCATTCTGACTATAAGTGTTCTTAATGAAGACAGTCATCAGTCAGAGGGCTGTAGTTATGATAACTATCTGGAAATAACTCTTGTGAATTATAAAACCTTTGGATATAAGATAAAGACTAATTGCATTTTGTCTATTATAACACCTCATCAAGAAGGTAGACATTTGCCAATAATAGGAGTTAAACATTTTCCTTCCCCAATATACAGTTTCCCTTAAGTCTAAATTCCCAGCAAACCAATAAAATCAGGTATCTGGAGGGGATGACATAAATTGCATTATGTGGTTTTAACCATAGGTCGACATGGAGATCTTGCTCTTGGTTCCATTCCAGAGAGTCCATTTTTTGCAAAGTTTCATCATTTACTTTTATTTCTCTTTCAGAACAATCACTTAGTGATATATAAATATCAGCCCTGATTTTATTTGTGCTAGGGTTGAAAATAAGAGGGTTTTCTTTTTCTCTTGCTGCTCTACAGCAGAGCTTTTAGGGATGCTTTCTGGCCATTTTTGGAGTAGCACAAGATTAAATTCTCTGACATAAGTTCTTAGGCTGAATACATGGAGGGTTGTAGAGGTGACTGAGCTTGCACTTGAAAAATAATAGCCTTTCCTGGGTGTCAGAAGAGTATGTGCCTTACAAGCTGCTTTGACTGATTCAGCAGTTTCAGGACACTGCTCAAAGTTATGAAGGTGCATTTATGGAAATATACATTGATTGACGTAAATATACAACATAGGTTTTCAAATCATACATATTCCCTACAGATTTGAATTGAATCCCAAAATATAGTAGACTATTCTTGCCAATAAGAAGAGCAAGCAGGAGAGTAGGAAATGCCTACAGGATCTTCTATCTGACTATGTTCTCACGACTGTAAAACCCATTTCACTGATGCATATTCCAAGGGTTGAGGAACTTTCCTGCTGCCACCAGCATTTTTAGTGAAGCCTGAGGGACACCAGACAAAGTCCTGTTTTCGTTAGGTTCCTTGCTTAGTCTGCTTGGGGGTTTTAGGATATCTGCATCTGAACAGTTAACTTCTTCAGGCCCAAATATTAGTTAATGAGGTAAGTGATTTCTGACTCAATGTTCTGAAACAATGTTGAGTTAGGAGAGGTAAGAAGTTGGATTGTATCCTGTCATGATCTGCAGCAGAAGTCCCCAAAAGAAGGAGCATTTAATAGCTGTGTGTGCTTGCTTCATTGGGACAGAGAGCTGAAGTCTAATGAAAAACATCACCTAGGTCCCCAGTCTGCAGCTTTCTCTTCTTCTTCCAGCCTTATTCAGAAGCACTTGGCAGCCCTCTGTCCCCAAAGGAAGAGATGCCCTGTTATCCAAGCTCCCTGCTCAGCAGGGCACCCCTGTTGTTGGAGTGCTGACTTTACAAGGCTGACATTAATCAGCCACACAAAGACCACAGCTCCCCTCCAGGCAGATTCTGTTAATTTAAACTCGTGACAGAGTTTTTCTGCTTTACCCCAGCAGAAAACCATCCCTCCTTCCAAGTTGCTGACCCACATTACCCCTCAGTTCCCATACATTTTGCTTCTGACAGTATCTTGGGCATTCCCATGAGGAAAAACTAGGGGATTTATTGTTCCCCTCACCTTTCTGTTACCAGTCAGACTGACATGAAAGCAAGACTAGAATAGTGGTGGTGGTGGTGGGGGTGAGCTATCCAAAGCAAAAACCTGCTAAACGACGTCACTTATGATTTGCTAGTTCTCAAGAAAATGCAAGACAAATTTAGAATATATTAAAACTCCAATTCAGGCACAATTGCAATGATTTCAATAATTTTTAGAAATAAAGTCAGATATGTAAATACAAATTCAGTAGCAATACTTCTGGTGAGTCTTCCCAGGCGATGTGGTACTGTTTTTGTTAAATGAATGCAGATCATGTCACTAAAGTGGAAACTTTCTATCCAAAGAGGTTTGATAAATGCAGTCCTTCAAATTGCCATCCTTTTGCTGCATAACCAGCAGAAAAGATGAACCCTAGTAAAAGACTTGCTTGTTAATTAGTCTAGTGCTCCCACTGCATGTCACAATGTGTTATATTAAAGTATAACATTAATCCATCATTTTGTGTCTGTGTTTTTAGAGGATGTAATTCTTTCCTCCAATTTAAGTCTAATTTAATGAGTGAGGATGGAGCTACTTAGCTTCTTAAAATGCTGAAATTCTGGGCTACCAAAAGAAGTTTGACTTTCATTATAAGTGAAGTTTTTGCACATTAACTATAGCAAATGGAGCAGGCAGCTCTTCAGAGAATTAAAATTAGGTAAAAAGTGAATGATTAAAATGCCTATTTGCTCAAAGGAAGTAATAGTGGCATTTCATAGAGTAGGTTTGGGGGAGAAAAACAGCACATAGAAATTTCTGGTAGGGAAGACTGTGAAATCCTGGCATGAATGGCCAAGGCATCTATATTTTCTGCTTTGGAAAGTTTCTAAATGGAGACTGTTTCTCTCAATTTGCCTAAATGGAAGAATGGACTTTTAGATATAGGACTATTTATACATAAAAGTCAAGGTTTAAAATGAAGGCTTTGTGGTCCAGTCTTGAAAGGCAGGATATCCTGCTTTGAATGCATGAGCTGAACAACTTACAAACATATATTTGGGCAAGATTTAACTTCACTGAGTCTTCATTGTTGGAATGGGACATGCCAGGTAAGGTGATATCTGAGATTTTCTTCCAGCATTATGATTCATTTTCAAGTTCAACAAATATAGCTCATCTCATTTCTGTTTCCAATGGACCTCCCCCATACTCCCACTGCTCATTAAATTGTTGGACCTGAGGCTAAATGGACCAGAATGAACAAAGCAAAAGTCCATATTAAGCTGTATTATGGTGAGTTATTGGAATCTGCTGGGTAAGAAGAAACTTAACACAGCAGACTCATACCATTCAGTTAATTATTCAGCAGCATTCACTCATATAGTTTATATATACAAAGTTTTATGCTACAGTAAGAAATAATCCTCAGTGCTGGGTTATGACCTAAGGATCTGACTCAATATCAGAATGACTTAGCTTTATATATGAGATTGTAAGAAGTATTTTTTCTTCTTTCTAAGATCTCCTTAAGCCTAAGGAGCTATCAAGAGCTAAATTACATGTTTTGTTTCATGTCTTATATTGGCAGCTGCTCTGACTCCCTCTCTGAAGGGCCTTGTTTGTGCCATTCACTTCTGTGTCCTCTGTCACCTGTACAGGAACTAGTCAGTAGGTGGCACCAAAAAAATGTGAGCAGTACTAAATTCTTATAATCTGGGCTGCCAAACCAGCCCCTCAGAGCACAGGAGGTGAGCTGCTCCCAGAGCCTAGGAGGAGGCTTCTGGTCCACCATACCACTGGCCTCAGTGCACAGGAGGTGAGCCATGCAGGCAC